ACAAATTTAATACAAAATTACTTTCTTCAAAATAATTAAAACTCCCCACTCCTCTCGCTACTAGCGAAGCGAGGTCTGAAGAAAACGTGCGCGGATAATACTAGCGCTCTGTTCATAGGTCTTTCTAATGGTATTAATACCCCTTTTTCTTTTAATCGCGGCAGTATTTCTCCACATTACTTATAATAATATACTGACAGACCCTACTCTCGCATACCAACGTGAATTAGATTTTTCCGCAGACATCGCAGAAACGACAAAAACAAAACAAGCACTTTTTCCAGGACTATCAGCAGGCGTCCGCATTGGTCAGGTGCTGTCCCGTACGCGAGTATTTTTTTGACACAGCTAAAGCATATTAAGATTTCATCCAATGATAAATCCTTTTATAAGATATTTATCCCACTTCAGATGGGATTCAAATATAAGACATTTTTAGCTCTTTGTTAAAACATTACTCGCGACCCATACAGCTGTTAGACATCGGCACTATTCGTGCATTCTCAGATGTGTTCAGGCCCGCACTTTCATTACAGTAATTCCTAATTCTACCGTCTGCAATAGTATAATGATTAAGCTCCGGATTAACAAGCACGATAAAATAAAATAGGCAGGCAAAATAGGCATTTACAAATACAAAACAGGCACTTAAGTGTATAATAGGCATTTAACAAGGCACTACACATTTTTCTTATTCTTCTTTAAGTACTCATGTAGAAAGTTTCTAAAATAAATATAATATAGGTACTTTCATGGAATGTTTGCTTTAATAATTCTGACATATCCTCGTAGAAATCCTTTCTTTCATTGTTGGGCAATTGTTTTAATCGCCATGCATAACACAAAGGTAACTAGTGGTGTGAAAATAGCACATAATTTCTCGCATTATATCTGAAAAAGTATTTCAAAATTTGCCATTTTCAAAAATTCAGAGTTCAACGAAAATGAGACCTGCCCCCTTTATTTTAAGCGTCCCTTATTCTATCCGTGGGGTAAAAATCGAAGAAAACATATGTAGTAAGTTTTGAGAATTATTTTGTGATTTGCATTAATTTTAAGAAGAAATTATGCAAAAAACACTCATTAAAAAAAATATGCATAACCTGTTTTAAAGATATGACAAAAATCTCTGAATTCAATATTGCCAAGTTAACTTTTTGCAATGTTCGAAAACGGTTATCGCGAAGAATGAAACCGATGCCAATTCGGTCCTTTGATACATAAGAGAAAATTGCAAGAAAAAATAGAGTATTTTTGAGAAAAAAATTGTTTAAAATTTCGAAGTATAAACTTTTTGACTATACCAGCGATTTTGTACACTTCATAGTACCAAGGTTAACAGGATTTTTTTCCACTGGAGGGCATTTCAAAGAAAAGGAAAACATTTTATATTTTTATACTCCACGATGTATAGACTCCAACTCAACAATTCCAAATCATATATAATCTTTAAAAAACATATTAGACTTTGTTTCATTAAAAATGTAGCTAAATGTTGCTTTATTATGCGCACGTTTTGTTGAACTTTCTTTTTGCTTGTAATGGTAAGAGTAAAGGTAAGGGCGAGTTGCTATTTTATTAGCAATGCAGAAAAATCATACTTGCAATTTGTGTACCGATACAAATAAGATTTCTATAACTCAGAAACGAAAATGACTATTTTTAAAATATTGCTAATCTTACGATTTTTTTACTGGTTTTACGACGGTTTACGACAGTTTTTACTGTTTTTTGTTCTTTTTAATTTTTTTTACTGAATAAATCTAAATGAAAGTTTCCGAAAGGATAACACTCACCTTCCTTATCCACCAAACGATAAGCATAAATAAGTTTTATATCACAATAAGCCTAATGATCTGTTACGCAGACCATTTATTCGAGTAAAAATGTATATATTTAGAACATGGAGTCCCTTTAATGAATGAAACCCTTTAAAATTATGCCAGTATGATTTTCAATTCAACAAGACAAAAAGGAGAACATCCCATGTCAGGAGAGAGGACAGGAGGGCAATGTTTAAAAAGAAGGACAAACCCTCCAAAGAGGGCAGATGGCAGCACTGATTACGCGAAATACCTGCATTGTAATTGTAGTAAAACGGAATAGATTGATCCAGTGGTGGACCCAGAGGCATATTTTGGGAGATGAAATTCAAAATAGTTTGGTCGAATGTGTCATAATGCAGATTTTGGGAAATGTTGCTGGTTATACTCAGCTCATGCTGCGATACGATATTATTTAATGATTATCACAAAATATTTTTGCTTGAAAGTTTCGCAATAAGTTTATAACAAGAGTTACTGAAATATTCTAGAAGGCGGGGGATTTCCACGTGGTTCCGCGCTTGATTTTTCTGTATTAAAGTACCCTGAAGGATACTCTAGTACTCTGAAGGCTAAACAAGAAAAAATTACATTTTTTATTAAGAATTTAATTTTTGCTCAATAAATACGAGAATATGCAACATTTATGCATTAAAACATAAAATAGGCATTATATAGTGAAATAGGCACAATAAAATTCGTATATAATACTCTCAATACCTCAAAATGAATATGTAAATTAAAAATTGCGTTTTTCATTTCAGAAAAAACTGGACTAAGACAAAAACCGCAGATTAATAATAATTATATAATGCAAGAGTGCAAATATATAATGATCATTAGCCCTAATAATCGCGTAAAACTCCAGATGCCCACAATAGTGTAAGAATCACCCTAGCTTCTAGGCGCCCAACATGTTGGATAATAGCGAAGAACTAAGACATCTAATGTAATCACAATACCAGGGGCTGATTTAGCCGATCATTTTGGAGGGGGCCATAATACATTTTTGTTAAATAATAATTTGTTATATTGTTTTTGTAGCGCATGTATGATACTATATAATATTGTTTTTAAATAATTACATAATTCTAACATAAATATTTAAATCAGTTTCACCAAATAAAGGAAGGAACCAACGAAATTCTATATCGGCTACTGCAAGATACACACCGTTACATCTCAATCATTTCATTTGAGTTGCCAATGGGTAACAACACTTTTGAAGTTGTAAAAAATACTCATGTTCGTGCATTTGTATATAATTAGTAATGGTAAATATAAGCAATTGCTATAAATGCGAAATATTACCAAACGCTGTGAAAATGTTATTAAATTGTAAGTTTGACGGTCAGTATATTCAGACGGTCAGTATATGGACAGTCAGGTATTTATAGTTGTCAATCCGCGACAAAAAACGAAATACAGCCCAAAGTGCAAAATGGACATGAATCAGGAAAATCCTTACTAAATTGTTTTTTTGGCTTCCTTGGCGTTCGCTATCCAATTATTCAAATTTCTTAGAAAAGACTTCTCGCAAAAGGCTGATGTTCAGTAGTACAAGATGCGATACGATACGACTTGTTACTATCCGTAACAAGATAGTTCGTGTATAAATACCCTTAAACAAGCAGAAAATTACAAATGTGAACAATTTTATGTGCGTCACTGCTATATTTTAATGTGTAATTTAAGTAATAAGAAGTTGGAATGGCAAAAAAGTGCTTTCCAAATTAGTCGATGGCATAATGTTTGAATGAGAATAAATTGGTAATAATATAAAACACATTTTAATGGTGAAACTCATCACATTAATGAAATTAGGGAGTAATTGTGTCCGCATAATTCAAGAATATCAAATATATGCGCGTTTAGAAATTGAAATGACAGCACTCAGTGATTGGCCAACGGAAAGATCACCAGACTTAATTTGGACGTACTATTGGTCATTAAGAAACCACCACACGAGAAGCACTACACTGCTCGTAATCGTCTTCAAATCGATTGACAAATGCAAAGACTAATGTGGTAGCATGCAATAATTTTCACATGACACAAGCAAACGAACAGAAGAGACAACGTACAACAAAATACAGTACTTACTTAAATAGGTTCCAATGATGGTGTTCCAGTCAAGCAATGCCAAGTTGCTATAACACTAACGTAACATCTGTAGCAACTATTTCACTGTATCTCCATTTTCTGAATGAATTGACGAGCCTCAATCATAATTTTAACAAATTATTTTGTTATTTTTCAATTATTCCCTTAAAGTTTACCCTAGCATCACGAACCTCAACCCCAACACCGCTTGCACATCTTCATGGAGTACGCATGACTAATTTTCGCTTTGGTTGGTGCACAGGGCGCACTCTCGTATACAAATAGCAAAGCTTTCGGCAATACTATTAATTGTTTATCTGGCAGATAAATCCTATATAACAGAATTTGTGTGTGAACTTGCTGTGGTTTTCAAGGAATATCAGTAGTATTTCAGTGATGGACAACGTAATAGAAATGATGACGAATTCTTTGATGGTTTAGGAGCGTCCGTCCAGACACGTCGGCCAGAATATTTTGAGATCCATGATGAACAAAATTGCAAATCCCGTTGTAGGTTAAGGAAGCCTACAAATAACAAATTTATGACTTTGACAGAAAACACAAAATGTTAAAATAATAAAATTTATACTTAGTGTTTTGTTAGTAATTCTGAGGTATTATCTATGAACCGACTTCTCACTGTGCATTATTTGGCAATGGGATTATTTTTTATCGTAATTAGGGGCTTCATTGAGGTGAACAATTACTGCTTCAAGTGTAGTGAGTTCGTGAAGTTTCCGAAGACGACTTCTATGAAATTGCTAGATTTTGTAGAGTTCTCGCAGCAATACATTGCATACATGTTCTCATACAATCACCTGGCAATACACAACATACATTTCGTCGATGTTTAAGAGAAGTGACGTCTCTAAAATATCATTTGCAGGAGAATGGTTTAATGCTGAGTGGAGACGATTTTATAGTGTTCTACTCTCCATAGTAACTGTCTTGTGAACTATATTTATGACATTTTTTCTAATAAATTAAGTAAACACAAGTATCCCTTCCTTTTTTAATAATCAATGTTGCTTTTTCCTTCAAAAGAAGTCTTTATTGTCCAACAACAATTCAATTACACTTATGTTATACCTAATTGTTATGATGTCTGAAAATACAGAAGTCAAACAAATTTTGATAATAGATAATAAAATAAAAGTTATGTAGATATAAGAAATGAAATTGATTCAAAAATCCAAATATAAGTGAAGAAATATATAAGTAGAAAGTAGAAAATATAGAAGTAGATGGGAGAGAACTTGCCAAAACATGTTAAATTAAGCAGATATTTTTACAAAAAAATAGTACTATATAAAAAACGTTATCAAAAAAAAAATCCATTGTGAGATCATACTTATACATTCTCACTTTAAGTAAAGAGGTAAGTATGGAAAGAGAGCAGATTAGCATAAAAATAAACATTATTATTTTGAATAGACAACCATGAAAGCAAGTAAATATTAACAATCAGTGGCGAAAGGAACAGATCTGAACGAAAGTACACCAATAAATTTAAAAACCTCCACTTTGTGACATTTGTACACCTATGTAACAATATACCACATTATAGAAATCTGCCCTAAATTTAGGTATCAATCAACTAATCTAAATAAAGCTTAAGATACCTTATTGTATTTGACTGAATGGCAATGTCTGGTGTAAGATAATTCTGCAACAAAAAGTGGACCATTTTCATGAAAAACTAGGTTTGAGGGTATCCAATACAAAAAGGGGATAAATCTTATTTCTAAATATTATGTAGTAAATACCTTTCTCTAACATATTGTCAGTGTCACATTAAGTAGGAGCTAGATACAGAAAAAAATGGTTTGTGGCAAAAGATCTTTTTGTCTACAGACAACACTAGAACAAGGATTTTTTTCCAGAATGAATGTTCTCCGATCAATCTGCCTCTTCTTGCAGACCTGCAAATATGAAACAACTGTTTTTGGAGGATACTTTACTTGTAACCTAAACATCAATTTTTTAGAACAAAATTATAGTAAATTTCTAGCCCCAAATTTTTGGACTTTTTTTTTTCATTCTTGTGCAAAGTACTTACAAAAAAAGGGCTTTTTTTTTGTTGAATTCTCTAAATTTTTTAAGCATGTTCCTACTACAATGGGAAGGAAGGTTATGTTGGTTTGGGCAAGTGATCTTGAGGTTTCCTAACTGCTTAACCTAATTATCAATCACTATTTGTGGATACAAATAGTAATGTATTACATAACCATGACAAATAATGCAAGAAAGTGCTGTAGCAAGTAGCACCAATAGTTCTTTCAGGTATTCACTTAGTATTTTGAATGCTGCTATCTGCTTTTACTTAATGATTTCAGCACAGTAATCTGAATTTTTCATTGATTTCTCCACCATATTAACGCTGTCAGTACGGAAAGGTAAGTAAGAAAATTCTTTCCTCCGTTTACTGTTTTCCTAACACATCAATCTGACAAAGCCAGCAAGTCCAGACAAAATATCAGATTTTAAGTTGGGAGATTGTACAACATTGAAAACCAAATTAATTTGTTCAAAAAGTCGCAATGGAAAATTTATAATTAATCTAAAACATTAATAAACTACATTTCCATCAAAGATATTTCTAAACTGCACCTTATGCATCTCTTTTACATCACAATAACAACCACATTGCAAGAAAAACCTAATTTTGACACATTGCAATAAATCTTTCTTTACAGTGTGGGTTGCACATAAAAATTCCATTATAATTTGTATTAGCATTGTCAATAACTATTGGCCTAATGTTAAACTCAAAACTTTTACAACAAATTGACCAATAACGATTTTTGAAAACAAACTTGTAATATATGCGAACAACTTCACCTTCATATCAAATTGACTATTTCTGCTTTTGCACTACTTATTCAAATCTGTTCTAAAACACCAACCCATTTAGTAAATGTATCTATTTAAGGGGAAAATGGTCCAAGATAATAAAAATATCATCCACACAATATTTATTTCACAATTCAGGAGAACACAGTTTTAAAGATATATTTTTACTTAGTAAAGAAAATAAAAAGTGAAATTGTCAGAAAATATTAATCTCACAATGTTAAGAACTCATGAGCTTTAGTTTCCAATAATAACTCCATAGAGTTGACATCTTTACACCAGGTATCCAATCGTTGCACCATTGATGATATCTGAAACGAAATGTTACAATGAGGTTTTATTTACATACCAAAACATTTTACACATTAGACAAAGTAGTTTCTTTTTTGATGTTTCATTCTAGAATTCATGCTGCTTTCAATCTGAACAATTTTTGAAGTCTTTTCTAGAGTGATCTTCCAAAATTTCCCAAATATTTAAAACAATGTGCATGTGTAATTTCAATACTGAACAATGGACAATTTTTGTGATTCTATCAATTAAAATCGATATCACACTATTATTTCCCTCCCTTCATAAATTTACTAAACAAGTTTAAGATATACAAGCAATAGTTTAGCACTTCTGTACAAGTTCATTTAATCTATAGTCATGTACAAGTTCATTTAGATAAAAATAAACATTCATAAAATTATGACGCAACCAACCTGTTGTTTATCCAATACACGAGGCTGCACCCAAGTCATGTGAACATTGTTTGCTACTTGATCAATTGCTCCCTTAACCAACCCTTGTGCTAAAGCCTTCATCACCAATAATTCAACTTCTGTGATTGGTAGTCTAGTTTCCCGAGATATTTCTTCGAAAGTCAATTGTCGGTTAGTAGCAGGTCGCTTAAAAGTCATCTGGAGAACAGAAACATTCCATTAACGCTGTTTTAACAATCATAAACTTTATTACGGTAATTAGCAGAAATACAATGAACATCACTCGAAAAAATATAACATTAAAACACAAATTTTCCGATAGAAGTAGGTACTTACACATACAGAATATTAACTACAAATAAACTTGCCAAAAACTCAGACACACAGGATATGAAAACTTACTTCCATTAGACAAAGAAGAGAGATTTTCTGACGAAGCTTCAGTTCCTGTGCAGCAAGATCAGGAATACTAGCCCATTGAGGCTTCATTTTATCAAATAATGAAATGTCTCCAGAATTAAAAGCGTACAACAACTCCACTAACCAGGCTTTGTCAGTTGTATTCAGAGTTTCCAATACAGGATGAGCTAACTGGAATAAAAACAGAATTTTATTAAAATAGAAAATGCTGAAGTCAGCCAATCCAAATACTGATGGATAGCACCAAAGTAAAGTAAAATTCTGTATAAACACAGCAGAGAAATGCTCAGGCACTGCAGTGACTTTGTTGCCAAGAGAGAGACAATGCTTAATCAGCACCCCGCCTCCCCCAAGAGAAATTTACCCCCTATCACATGACACTAATGTAGCAAAACCCTGTTCCAGTCTATTTTAAGCATGTCCCAAACCTTACCATGCTGCCAAAATTCCTGAGTCACCTGGAAGAAAATTCAATGCTTTGCCTCTTACAAGCAAGAAGAAATTCATGGAGGAGAATAAAATCTTGTCCACTACAGCTGGGAATCTCTTATGAAGAGGTCTCTCAAATGCAGGCAATAAATGCATTGTTTATGTACAACTGACCTCAGGACCATACATTTTGTCTCCTACAAGCAAGATTGTTATAAGAGGGTTTTCTTTTAATTCCAAATTCAATCTTCAAACATAAGGTTTACATTTAATTTTATTTACTGAAGTACACAAGATCAAAATTGTAAATATTTGTAAATATGAATGATATTTTCACCTCTCTTGTAAAAATTTGCAACCCAAACAACAAAACTAGTAGTGCTACAGAATGGCAGAAAAATCCCTGTATTAGTTTTTTTATTTCCTTTGGTCTTGGATAGCTATTCGGACTTGCCACAAACTCTTTCCAGTTGCCATCTATCACTGCTGAAAACAACTTTTTTGAAATTATCTACATTTTTTGGTTTCTTAACAGTAAAACCAAAATAATATTTTAAGAATATTAAAGAACTGAAAATCCTCATCTTTAAATGCCAATTTTCAACATTTGGAACTTTAATTCTCAAAAAACGCTTCTAATGAAGTCATTTGAAACTAACTCACAAATACATGTGTTTACAAATTGCTCAAAATGTGCAAATTAACAGCGTCAGCGATCTTAAAAAATATCGCATAATTTTTTGGGGAAAAAAAATTGTCATATTAAAGAGTGCAATTAGCACTATCCATTCAAAAAGTTTTGAGAAACAATTTGGAGCAGTTTTTAAATAAAATGGGGTTTGAACTTTTCTGAAACTGCGGAATTTGGATATAGGGGTTTCACAGAAAACGGTTGAGTTTTCGAGAAACTATCTGGCATCGCAGTGAAACTCCGTTTATACGTTTCTCACTTGTTATGGTAGGTCCCGGATAAATTACTATAATTTCCATTCTGAATTATTTCAGTTGTGCGTTTTACGTTTATACGTTCTTTATACTTATACTTTCATAATCAAAGTACCTTTAAGATCATGTAAAGTTCAAATGATTCCGGTGAGGCGCAGGGCGATCTGCGCCGAGAGCCCGGAACTTGTAGTTACCCGTTACTAGAGTCGGCACGCTGCAGGAGCGCTCCCGTGGGACCTCTGAGGCGACTTCCCACTAATGAAACTAGTAATATAGAAAATCGACTCTGCCTAAATAAGCCAAGACCGCGCGAGCCCGCAGGGTGGTAGGTCAAAGTCGGCTCCTAGGCCACCTCCTACAGAGGAACTTCGGAAAATGGATGGAGCTGGGTGGGTACGGGAAGCCCTCCGAGGATATCAGGAGGGGAAGGTCAAAGGTTCATATACAAATACGTCTATCGGATTAACAGACAATGCATGATATCTATAGGATTAACAGAGCGATCATGCAGTGGGAGAAAATCAACAGACAATAGCAATCACATCTTTAAGCAGATTCAATTCCATAGGGCAAGAGATTACCAGTTTTACAACTTCCTTAAGTGAAAATTACTGCTACATACACTATAGTTTCCAGCGCAATAAAAGTTTCATTTAGAAATCTGTTTCAATTCAATTTCAGTTATCTTATTATCCTTTTATAAAATTATAAAATTCTTTCTTTACAATAAAAAAATATATGTTATTTTTGTTTATTTTTTCCTCTATCCCAAATTTTGTTCGGATTATCCGAAATTTTGGATTTGCGGTTCTACAGTACACGAAATGCCATGTAATACAAAATAAAAATTACATTAACTTTTTCCATCAATAATGTTAAAAACTGAAAACATTAACAAAGCACTCATAGAGTTTTCAGCAAACATACCAATTCTCCTAGATTGTAGACTCCTTCCCCAAGTAGAGCAGCCAATCCTAAGAAAAATGCATGTTGTTCTTGTTCTTCTTGTGGCATTTCTGACAATTCCACACAGCCTAAATATCTGAAAACCAATTTATATCTCATCAGAATACAGATAAAAATGTAAATAATGTCAAAATGATACAGGTTAATTAAACACTAATGCAGACGTGAACTTTGGTCAATGGCTTTTGGATAGCTGAAACATTAAGATCTTGAAATGCATTACCTCTTATTCTGCTGCAACTACAAAACCATCTAAATGACCACTTAACATAAAATCACAAGTACACTCATGTCCTTTTTCAAGGTGCGGTACATTAAGTTAAAGCCCGAATGCCTAATGTTATTGAGGTAGTTACGTGTACTAATATTGGAGGGAACATTGGCTGCAGTTGTGTTGAGCAGAGTTTGGGAGGCACATTGTCTTGGTGAAGTAAAAGTATTTGATCTGCTACCATCCTGTGGGATGTGCAGTTGAGAATGAGATGCAAAGGGGAAGAAAACAAGGCGTTAATCGAGATATATGTGTGAGGATTGTGTAATTGCTGTTTGTGTAGTTCCACGCTTCAAAGTGAACCACACCACAACAAACATTTGAAGGTGGAAGTGGAACATAGGAGCATATTGTGCATATTGCATTAAAAATAAATGCCTCTGCAATATATTTATGTAACAAAAATATTATTTCCTGACATTATCTCCACTCTTTATACGACTACTTATGTACATGAATGAGGGGTCACTCCATATTAAATCAACACAGTTTTGATTAAACTTTGACCTCACCATCTCAGATTCAGACAAAAATTTGACACATAGGTAATATGGATGAAGGAAAAGAAAACTAAAACTTTTGAGTAAAATATTCGTTTGTGAAATAAAGCCTTTTTTTTTTTCCCTTCAATGATTGCACTGCCTCAAACTATTTAAAGTTTCACTCATCCACATTGACCTATTCTAGTTTACAGACAGTGATTTTGCAAGATTATTTAAACAATCTTGAAGAATTACTATCTATAAACTAGAAGAGGTCAATACAACCATGTAGGTATTATTAAATTGGGCTTACCAAAAAATTGATGTAGAACCTCGCGAAATTTAAGGTAGAGAGTTTGCAAAGGTGTCATTTTGTAGCTTTCTTAATGGCCTTTTATATGATATTCAACTCAACAGAACTTAAGTTGCAAAAAGGTTTTCAAATTTCAATTAAAATTTTGATTGAGTTTTTTCAAAATACACATAAAAAAATTGAAAAACTTCTAAAACAATTCTAATATGTTTTTGAACTGACCGTGTAATTACAAATTTGAGATCATTATGGGTTCATACAACTTTACTTAAAATTCTTAATATTTACTTAAGTTAGATTTCACTGATTTAAAATGCATTTCATAAAAAAATACAAGTCTTAATATAAACAAATTATTAATTTAGTGTTTATTGTTAGTGAGAGTTGTATTTTATTATTATTATTATTATTATTATTATTATTATTGCTAATAATACATTTTATTTTATTGTCAATTATCAATTTAAAGTAACTTCATAATAGGTCTCTGACATCATTAAAATAAAAATGAAATTTATTTTCTGATCACCCAAGCGTAAGTGATATTTTTCATGCTTCTTTTGAATCAAAGCTGAATGATCCAATGAAAGAATGCTCAAAACCACTCACTGCAGTGGGAGGCTAACATGTTGCCACTTGCACATAGCTTGAACCACTTATATCACACATCAAGTCTTCAATGGATTGAAACTTTGAAATAGTGCATATCTGTTGCTTTCCATTTTTAACACCAAATTGAGGAGAAAGTCAAAACAAAAAACAACAACTGTCACTTAAT